CCCCAAAACCACTTCTGCATGTATCAAAACCCTGGATCCGTGTAACCTTGTGGTCACTTCAGAGCTTTGCTCGGGGAAGCCCTCAGAACCCAACAGTTGGGTGTTTTTCCTAATGGCTTCCAACCACTTTGTGGCCTTGAAGTAATGTAATGTTCAACTGGCAACACGTGGTGGCCGAGACCTTCAGCGGTGACATCTCAACCAGGGTTGCTAGGCAGGCCTGAGCAGACCTGGACCACAGAGTTTGTAAACTTGCTGGGCAGATGCACAGGTGTGACATGAATGTGCCAGGGACCTTGCTGGGCAGGGGACCGTGCACTCACCCCACTGCCCAGACCTAGCAAGAGGAACAGCCACACGTGTGCAGAACCAGGCTCCTCTACCTACTCTCTACATCCCACTGTGAAGGCTGGGCCATGGGCATACCTGGAGCCCCGAAGAAAGAGGCATCCTGCCCCCTCCTTTAGTGCATATTAGGAAATACATTGCCAGGCCCAAGAATTGTTCCTAGACCGAGAGACACCTCTTGTGCCTTGCACTGAATCCATCCGTCACACTGAAATGAGCATCCCTTGCAGGATAGGAGCTGCACATAATAGTGCTTCCTGCCTTAGGCCTACTAGAGAGGCAGTTTCTAGAATGGAATAAATTTTAATTGTTCTTTCTGTTTTCTTTGAGCAATGGCCCTGAGGTTTTGTTTTTTGTTTCCAGTTACATAACCTAGTAATAAATATCTTAAACATCTACATTGTTAAAGCCACTATATCACCCTTTTAAAAAAAATTAAGCCAGGCAGCGGCGGTGTATGCCTTTAATCCCAGCACTCAAGAGGCAGAGCCAGAAGAATCTCTGAGTTCGAGGCCATCCTGGTCTACAGAGTGAGATCCTAGACAGGCACCAAAAACTACATGGAGAAACCCTGTTTCGAAAAACCAAAAAAAAAAAAAAAAAAAAAAAGAAAAAAAAAAAAAAAAGTCAAGCGTGGTATCTCATGCCTGGAACTGGAGGTAGGAGGATCAGGAGTTTGAGTACAGCCTCTGCTACAAAGGGAATTTGAGACCAGTCTGGACTACGTAAGACCCTATCTCCAAAACAATTAATGAATTAAAATTAATTGTAAAACAAATTTTTTGAAGTCCTGTCTTAGTAGATGAACATAGAATATGATAACTGGCATCGCCTGATAGAATCAGTGGCTGTGGCCATGTTCGTGGATCCTCTCCCAGGAACCAGGTGGGGAAAGGAAAGGCTGGATGTAATGCTAAGACATCAGTGTAACTGTGAACCCTTGAGGAGTCTGATGTAGGCAGGAGGCAGAGGGTTGGGCCCATCTCCATCCTCACCTAGAAACCAGAGTCCAAAGACCATGACAACAGGTGTTCTGGAACAGACACCCTGCTACAGCAGAACTGGGTGAGAGGCAAGCCCGTCCTGCGCCTTGGGTTTGATGATACCTGCAGCCTGTGCTCTGACGGCCAGGGTCATAGCAAAATGTAATGAGTTAAATGGGGTTTTCACACTCTGCATGGACATCCTCCGCACTCACATGCATGTCAGTGACCTAAGCCAGTTCTCTGACCTGAGCAAGGATTGACAACAGGGCTTCTGCGGCATGACCCTGGCATATGAACCTACCTAGATGAGTGTGCCATAGTGAAAATCAACCCCAGCCCTTGACATTTTCATACAGAATGGTGATTGTGGAGGCAAAGGGGCTTCTGTGTTTATTAAGGATAGGTGAGAACAATGTCTAAAGGAACACCAGTCTTCTCTCCCTCTGAAGTCCTGATTTCCCTCCACACCAGACTTTCCACTCTGCCAGGAGCTACATGGACCCCATGGCAGCCTATGTAAGACAGTAGGTCCAGCAGATGGTCCTCACTGGTTCTTCCCTGGCTTCCTGGTGAACCAGCTGCTTATCTAGCTGCAGCCTCCGAAGTTCCTGGACAGATTTTGTTGGTTAATAGCAAAGCAGAAAAAGTGAGCTCCTGGGTCCAGAGCTCAGCAAGAGTTCCCTGCTTCAAAGAAAATGGACAAGAGTATATGCCAAGGTTAGGATGTCCGTGGTCCTGCTATCAGCATGTACGGCCCTCAAACTCCCTTTGCCTCAGAGAGCTGGGCTGATCGCAGTGTGGGACTACAGGGCAGAAAGCAGAAAATGACCCAGGAATTGCCACACTTTCTGCTCCACTAATTTGAGTCTGACCCTGAGAAGATGAGCTGATGTGTTGGATCCTCTGTGCAATACCAAGCTTTCACACAGTGTCCGTGCTTGAACCCCAGACACACAGGCCCTGACACTGACCAGGAAACTGGGGAATCCTCAGTCTGCAGAAAATTTCAATGTAAGCTGGAATAGTGCCAGAAGCCGTCCCACCCCTGGTGCTGTCCTTCCCCAGCCAGGCCTTGTCCAGCTCTTGCCTTTTCCAGGAAGCCCTTAGTCTGCGTGTGGCATTTCCCCATGTCTGGACTCTGGTACTTCGAAATCACAGGGCCCTCTTTCTATAAACTCTCCATCTTACCCCACCTCCTCCCTCCATCTACCCCACCTCCTCCCTCCATCTACCCCACCTCCTCCCTCCATCTACCCCACCTCCTCCCTCCATCTACCCCCACCTCCTCCCTCCATCTACCCCACCTCCTCCCTCCATCTACCCCACCTCCTCCCTCCATCTACCCCACCTCCTCCCTCCATCTTACCCCACCTCCTCCCTCCATCTACCTCGCCTCCTCCCTCCATCTACCCCACCTCCTCCCTCCATCTACCCCACCTCCTCCCTCCATCTACCCCGCCTCCTCCCTCCATCTTACCCCTGCCTCCTCCCTCCATCTTACCCCACCTCCTCCCTCCATCTTACCCCTGCCTCCGTCCTGTATCTCACCCCTCTGTAAGGTCCCATAAAGGTTCTCATTTAACCCCATGTGGCCCAGAATGAGAAAGTCATGGTTATTCATCCTCATGAAGCCTCCTTTAGTTTGGACTTCAAATCTCCGTGCCTCTGAGCTTGGCAGGATTGAGAAAGGTTAATGACGGGGCTTTCTGCATGCTGCTCCCCCACCAGGGTGCACCATGCCTGATTCCATCCAGGATGGGTTAAAATGAAGTGCTCTCTTGCCCAAGGCTGTTTATTATGAGGCAGAAAATGCAATTAACCTTAAGTGGTTTGGGTCACTGGCCCAAGCTTGCTTTCTCCTCGCGACCTCTGTCCCCTTGCCAAAGAATAGTCAAAACAGAGACCCAGAATCGGGCATGGCACGGAGCAAAAACATAAATGTTCCCATCATTCTGTGCACCACGCAGAGAGAATGAATGCCTTCACTTACATGCACTGTTATTTTCAATATGTGTGTGCTGCTGGATTCATAAAATACAGAGTTACTTTTAAATGAGGGCTTAGTAAGTTACTATGACCCAGTAACGTCTTTGGGAAGAGAACAGCCTCTGAGTTTAGCGGGGGACAGGGACTTGGGTGCTCTGCCTCCGCTTCCTTGTCCTGAAGATAAACAGGCGCAGGCTGGGAGCTGTGACTAAATGGTAATCACCTATAGCACAACTGCCTGTTTCTCCAGGGTAACCAGTGACACAGCGTTTCTCTCACACTTTCCCCAGGTTTCTGTGTGGTTGGAAATTAGCTCCAGCCTTTAAAACTCACGCTAGCTGTTCACAGGGCAGTGACTACCGTGGTGTGAATAACGTGTGTAGAGGAAAACCCACCCCACCCCGCCAGTGTCTTCTCCTCTTCTGTTCCACTGCTCTGAGGGAAGCGCTCGCTCGCATAGGGCATGCTGCACCGACTGACTTGAACACATTTTCTCCCCTCCCAGAGGACTCTAATTAGGAGTGTAAGCTCATATTCTGCAGCAGCAACAAGGAAGGAGTGGACAGACCCTGCCCCAAGAGACAGTTGCTGCTGGGAGAGTCCTTCTAAAGACTTGGCTTGGGACTCACCAGCTGGCAGTCTCAGGGTGACTCCTAGTCTCGGTCCTGTTTCTGTGGGAGAGCAAAGAGTGCAGGATTGGGGCTGCTGCTTCAAGTATATATATACATTAAAATTCATGCCTATAGATGTACCTGTATATAGAGAGACTATTACATAGCAGTTTGTTTGCAGGTTGCCCCTAGGAAGACCATGGGGCCTAGAAGGGAATGGAAACTAACTTTGTAGCATAATCTTTTGTACATTTGAATAGCATATCCTGTGCTTATCTTACTTATTCAGCAAACAAGACGTGATGTCTAAGAGGATGTCTAAGTTGTGATCTCTCTGGTTACTGGTAGAGAAGGACGGAGAGGGCAAGGATGGGAAGAGAGTGTGCTAGAAGGCGCAGGAAGTGGTCCAGCTGAGAGACAGGTGTGGTTTGACCTATGGAATTGGCAATGGGGATGAAGAGCAGTGGAATTCTCGAGTTCTGGTATCTCTGTGGTGGGAAGCTATTGAGTTTCTCCCAGGTGCTCAAAGCCTCCAAACGCCAGAGACTCTGTGAAGTGTCGCACTGTGGAGGACGGTTACGGGTGTACACTACCTTCATATCCAAATGCAATTCCTAAATCATTCTTACAATTATTAAACCAAAATCAAAAGCGAGGCATGGCAGTGCTGGAGAATCTTGCTGTCCAGCCAGTCTGGCCAAGTCAGTGAGCTTCAGATTCAGGGAGAGGAGCCCTAGCCTCCATGTGTGCGCGCACACACACACACACACACACACACACACACACACACACACATGCACGCGCGTACCTGATACACAGATGCACTCATACACACATGCACACACACACACATGCACACGATACACAGATGCACTCATACACACACACACACAATTCACCCTAAAGAGTTGCACACAAATAGACATGTGCACACCCACGTGCACATACCTCTTATCACACACACACACACACACACACACACACACACACACACACACACACACACACACACACACACACACCAGCCCGAAGAGTATGCATTTCTCAATGGAGCTTGCTTTCTTTGCAGAGAGATGCCAAAGGCCAGTACCTGTTTGACCTCCTTTGCCACCACCTGAACCTACTTGAGAAAGACTACTTTGGGATTCGTTTTGTGGACCCAGATAAGCAGCGGGTAAGTCAAAATTCAAAGCAGAGATGGAGCACAGGGTTAATTACTAGGCCTGAATCTTTGGTTGTATATGACTCATATTCAAAGTTTAGCCTCAGGAGTCAGGAACCAGCCAGACCCTGTAGTTGGTATCATCACATCAAATCATAGCACTGAGCCTGAAAGTCACTTGAACCAGAGTTCAGCTGAGGAAACCTGGCATCTCACAGAGGTCAAAAAGGCAGCCTCAAGAGCTTAAGCAAATTGCCCATGGATGCCCACTAGAGGTGCAGCTGGTAGGCTAGTGTTGAGGTTATGGAGCCCGGTGCACAAAGGAGGCATCTCTTGCTTCCTCCGTAGTAAATGGGCTGACCTGTATTTCAGGCAATCTTGCCCTGGTTGGGTAGAGCCTTCCTGGGCAATGCCGGACTGGTCTAGGCAGGACAGAGTGAGCCAAACGGACATAAGCCCTCGAGCACCTTGCGAAGCCTGAAGTCCCTTCTCTGCTCTGTGCAGTGAAGGAAGTTTCAGACTGCGGGCCTTGACAGAGACTGCTGTCTCAGACAGGAGGAAGTCCACTTCCCTTGGGCCCCTGGGTCATCTCCAGCATCACTTTCCCAACCCGCCTTTTCCCTTCTGTGGTCTAGCCAGATATTGTGAACTCTGACATGCCTGTCTCCCTTTCAGACCTCAGTCCTTCAGTTCCCCTGCCTGGAGCATGCTTCTCCTTTTCCTCTTTCCACACTCCATAGTTTTCTCCTGACTATCCCCTTTTCTTCCTGTCTGTCTGTCTGTCTTTCTTTCTTTCTTCTTTCTTTTTTGTTTTGTTTTTTTTTCATTTTATTTTGTTTTTGTTTTTCTTTCTTTTTAAAAAAAAAAAAGATTTATTTATTTATTATGTACACAGAGGAGGGCACCAGATCTCATTACAGATGGTTGTGAGCCACCATGTGGGTGCTGGGAATTGAACTCAGGAACTCTGGAAGAGCAGTCAGTGCTCTTAACCTCTGAGCCATCTCTCCAGCCCCTTTATTTTTCAAGACAGGGTTTCTCTGTGTAACAGCTCTGGCTATCCTGAAACTCGCTTTGTAGACCAGGCTGGCCCTGAACTCACAGAGAGCCACCTGCCTCTGCTAGGATTACAGGCGTGTGCTACCACTGCCCACCCCACCCCCTTTCTTTTTTAAAGATGTATTTTTATTTTGTTCATATGTATGTGTGTTCGTCTGTGTGTGTGCGTGCCATGTGTGCATCCATGCCCTCAGGAGCCAGAAGAGCATGGTGGATTCCCTGGAGTTGGCGTTACAGGCAGTTGTGAGCTTCCTGATAGGGGTACTAGGAACTGAACCTGGGTCCTCTGCAAGAGCAACAAGCACTTAACCCCTGAGTCATGTCTCCAGCCCCAAAGCTGCCTTCTTGTCATGCTTAAGGTCTTCCCTGACCCTGCTGTATATTCCCCTCTGCTCCTCTGTTCTCTAATATCTGCCCATCATAGCACTTCCTGCACTGTGTTACGAAAGCCTTTGTTCCAAGAGGGACCATGCAGACCGCATCTCATCCATCATTGTCTCCCATGGAGCCCATGCAGGGCCTAGAATTCAGCTGGCGTTCAATACGCATTTGCTGAAAGAATGAGTTAATGATTTGTGGTGCTTTGATGCTCACCTTCGTCCTCCCAGCCTGTAGACACCTGCATTTCTGCAGCTTTGATTCCTCAGCCCTTTGCTGACTGTGAGGCTGTGTTATCTGGCATCCCTCGGAAGTGGGAAAATATGCAGGCACATGCAGGCTGTGTGCTCACCCACCACCCATGCTCATCTGCCACTCTCCAAAGACATCATCACAAATCCTACAGAGCTTCGTAAATCCTGTAGGGCCCTCCTTCTCAGGTTCAGGATTTCCTTCACAGCTCCATATAGGACTGTCTCTGCTATTATCAGGGGCCTTGGAAGACTTATAGGGTACAGCATCCCAGCACCACCCAGAATGACGGGTGCTGGGTGGGGCTATGCCCTTCACCGTGCCACCTCAAATGCTGCTCGTCCTTTGGTCATCTGAGCCACTGTGTCCTCCAGGTCATGTTTAGGGTTGTGTACTAAAGATAGGAGTTTTAGCAAAGACTCTTAAGACACCTGCCATGCAGGTTTCCTCTGCCTAGCCCTGCCCCATCCTTAATGTACTTATCCCTCCCTGCCTGGCAGAGCTGAGAGCAGCATCAGTGTTTGGAGATTTACCCTCCAAGTTTGTCCCTTTCTCTGCTCTGTTGACACGCTGCGCTTAGTTCGGGACCGTAGTGTGAGGCCACAAAGTGCCTGGATAGCAAGAAACTGTCCTTACTGCTATATGTGCCCATTCTCTAGAAAGGCTCATTAGCCTTCCCTCCCACCTCCAGTGTTTGTTTGGGCTAAGCTTTCTCTCTTAAAAAAAAATAATAATAATAACGAGGGCCATATACACCAAGATCTCTTCATCTGCCCCAGAGATAGCGGTATATAAAGTAAAAGGGCAAAATGTGTCCCGTTGATCATTTTTCAGTTAGGTCAGAATGTGCTTGAGGAGAAAAAGGATGTATGTGGAGTTGATGGAGATTAAAGGAGTATGTCCGGGCGGCGGTGGCACATGCCTTTAATCCCAGCACTCGGGAGGCAGAGGCAGGCAGATCTCTGTGAGTTCGAGGCCAGCCTGGTCTACAGAGTGAGTTCCAGGACAGGCACCAAAACTACACAGAGAAACCCTGTCTCGAAAAAACAAAAACAAAAACAAAAAAAATTAAAGGAGTATGAACAAGAGAAGATTGGGAACGAAGAGCATAGCCTTTATGAAGAGTCTGCTGTAGGCTAAGCTCGGCAGCAGGCTCATGGAGACGGAGCACCAAGTGTGCCTGGTGCTGAGCCAAGAGCTCCACGCACATCCCATCATGCAGTCCTTAAGGCACGTGATGAGACTCCAGTAGATTAAGCCAGGTTGTCCAACCAAGGTAAGTGGCGAGGCCAGTCCGGAGCCAGGGCAGTCTGGTTCTGTAGCCTGTGTGGTTTCTGAGGCTGCATGCTGAAGTCACATGGTAGCCCAAGAGTGAGGTGACTCTCCCCAGAAAAGGAGCATGGAGTACAGAGGCCCGTGAGAGTCCTGGAGAAGTCTTAAATGCCTTCTCCAATGTGATGATGCTATTCTAAATCCACTAATTCATGGGAGAGGTACAGGAAGTGAATTCCCACTCCCAGGGGTGCAAGGCAGACAGCAACCTCCTCCCCTGGGCTCCACCGTGGTCTCAACAGCTCCTCACTGCTTGCTCACTGAGTGTCCTGGGGCTCCTACCTCGCCGCCCTTCTCTTCTGGAGCAGCTGCCTCCGGCGTGCCCCGCCGTCCCGCTCAGCCTGAGCCTCTGCCCTTCTTCCACCTTCGTTTGCGCCCTTTCAAGCCTCAGAGTGTGAAGATGGTTCCCCTCTGACTTGATCCCCTCTGAATCTTGTCTCTGTCCCTGATCTCACCTCATGTTATCCGTGTGCCGTTCATTAGTTCTGGGACTCAGTCTACAAGAAGCTGTCACCACATTGCTGGGACAATCTCAAGCTTTCTCCCCTAAAATCCCAGCTCTTCCTAAGGTTCTCCAACTCCAGTCCTCTCCTGAGCCCCTCACCGCAGTCCGAACGAAAGCGGTCTCTTGCCACGGCCAAGGAAAGGAGCCTTTTCTGTAACTCAGCTCATCTTCCCTTTGCAGACCGCATGTCTCGGTCAGTCCCTATCCTTTCTGTCTTCTTTTACCTACCTGTCAGTCTAGGCTTCCGTTTGCTGCCTCCCTGACATCCGCTGTGTTCTCACTCTACAGGCCTGTTACGCTCTGAACCGGACAGGCCTCCTGCACCTTCCCAGGCAAGGCTGCAGCTCCCAGTGGCGGCTCCCCTGCTATTATTGCACCTCTTGCCTCTGCTTCCCTGCGAAGCAGAGCTGCGGCGGGCCGTGTAATGTGAGAAGGGCCTCTTAACCACGCTGAGTGGCTTTAATAAGTTGCCAGCCTCGTGGGAGCCCAGATCAGAGGAAGCAAGAGAGCAGAATGTCAGCCCAGATTATCCATGTGGAGCTGACAGAGCTGGCTCTTAGTGAGTCCATTAACTACATGACCCACAGCCCGGCCCAGAGGGCGAGAGCTGGGAACCGAGGGAAGCCAGGAGGCTGTCTGCATGGCCTGGCTACTTTCCTGCAGAAGAAGTTCTCTTCCAAGACTAAGCGGAAGTAGACAGAAAAGAGAGCACTGAGGAACCCATCCCTTTGCCCATTCCATAACTACAAGTTGCCCATGTGCTAGGCCCTGGCAATTATTTGGTAAACAAGTCAGTTCCTGTCCTCAGGGAAGTTACAGCTGGCATCTTTAAGCGGCCTCCAAAGCAGTCAACCCCCAAATAATAGCAGTTTTAGCTGTCTACCGGTCGGCAAGTTACTTGCTTAATGCAAAAGCAACAAGCGTCAGTAATGAGTTTTATAAAGTACCCACAGAGATTTGAGAAACTTATCAATGATGAGCTAAGCTGGGAAGAGATGCTCAGCCGTTAGGAGCACTTCCTGCTCCTCCAGACAACCCAAGTTCTGTTCTCAGCACCCACGTTGGGCAGCTGACAACCACCGTTAACTCTAGCTTCAGCTTTCTGACACTGTCTTCTGGCCTCCGTGGACACATGCACTCACATGGCACGCACGCACACACGCACACGCACGCACACACGCACGCACCAAATAAATAAATATCTTTAAAAGAGAGAGGGAGAGAGATTAGAATAGCCTCATTGTTGCCTTCCCCCAAGCTTAAGAGGCATGAGGGAGAATGAGAAATGTAGTGTTACTGTATTCTAGCTACAAAACACCATGGGAAACAGGATACTATTCTACACATTGGTTGCAGGTAACGATCACAAGAAACTAAGACTTTAAATATCCTCGTGTGCCAGGAAAGCCTGAGTAATACAAGGATTGCCTACCTGTGTTACTCAGAAAAAAAAAAAAAAAATGGACGTACACACCAGCCATCCCTAGCTCCTCTTCACTATGAAATCTCTTCTTGTCAGTACTTTTTAGAGTCGCCACCAACCCCCTCCACCCAACTCCTTTGCCAAAAGAAGTGGTATTTAGTACAGTGCACACCAAACATTAAGCCGGCAGCTCCCCACTCAAGCCAAGCCCACTATACAGACATGCATGGTTATCTGTGCCTGTGGGCCTGCCAGGAACAGGGCTCAAAGCTGGGGCACCCTGCTTTGGGGGGTGTCACAGGGAACCCTGAGAATGGCACCTGAAGCAGGCACGACTTTCCCCTTCACAGCTGGCCCATCATTGGTGCTTATTTCAGAACACGACTTTCCTCTCCAAACTTCTATTCATACATAAGCTTTGGGGCTGCTTTTACCCCAGGCAGACTGCATTCTGTCTTGCCATTTCTGTTGGCTAAAACAGTTTTCCCGTGACGTCACTTCTCACGAGGGTTGTCTTGTCTTGTGCTCTCTGTTTTCAGCATTGGTTGGAGTTTACAAAGTCAGTGGTGAAGCAACTGAGATGTAAGTATTCATAAAGAATCTAAGCTTTGCCACTGGGAGGACGGGAGGAGACCCCCAGGGTAGTAAGATTTGGTCTACGTGTGTAATTTTCCACTGTTCTAGTGTATGATGGCCCTATCTACAAAAGGGTTGTTTTTTTTTAGTTTACCTTGCATGTATGTATGTATGTGCGCCATATGTGTGCCTGGTACCCTGGAGGCCAGAAGAGGACATCTGGAGTTACAGATGGTTGCAAGCTACCATGTGGGTGCTGGGAATTGAACTTGGGTCCTCAGCTAGCACTCCCAATGCTGAGCCCTCTGTCCAGCCCCACAAAGGGATTTTTTTCCTTACGGTTCAGGGGCCTGTGCATGCCAGGAGGGGAACCCAATCGTCTCCTTGAGAGGGCCTCTCTTAACAGGCACCTTTTCCTGCAGCCCAGCCTCCGTTCACCATGTGCTTCCGTGTGAAGTTCTACCCTGCAGACCCTGCTGCCCTGAAAGAAGAAATAACCAGGTGAGGCTGGCACGCGACTCCCAGCCACTGTGGCCTGTGGGGAGGGTGGGAACTTTGGAAGTGCCCGGCTCTCTTTGGAGGAATGCTTCCTAGATAGAACCTGTTCTGTGTTTTCTGGCTCCCACTTTCTTTGTTCCCAGTCTCTGGAGGTGGAGCAGCCGGGACTTTCCTCTTTTGAGTCTCCAATTGCTTACTCTACAAGGGATCTGGAGTCACTAACTGCTGAACCGCCGCAGGTTTTTCCCTTGCCTTTAAGGTGGCTCTGTTGATGGCTCTGGAGACACAGCTGCTTGATTTCAGGCTTGGAAATAGACTCCAGTGGCCCAAAGGGTATACTTGGGAAATACCAAGGTGTGACATGGGAAGGCAGGGTGGAAAACACGGAGATTCTAGATCAAACGAGTAGATCCCAGCATGCTGTTTGAGCAGGTGCGTGAAGCGCTCTTCATTGTGGGAAGCATGTTCTGGGGCAGGCATGCCATGAGCCCTGTCTCTTCCACTGGAGAAAGAGAAAGAGCCTCTAGCCTAAGGCCACCCTGCCAGAGGGTTGGTGAACAGGAATCGGCTTTGTGCATCTAAACCAGACTCGTCCTAAGCCTTGCCTCTGAGATTCAGAAGTTCTGGGTTGCTGCGGTCCCTTATTTTGTCTTCAGCAAAACCCTGATGTTCACCCGTGGCAGGTGGGACCATTGGGGAAGAAATGGCACTGTTAATTCTAATCCCCTCCCCATTGCCTTGGAGAAAGCAAAGTCAGAAAAGAGGTAACTGCCGTCATATAGAGGCAACTTGTCCCATACAGCCTTGGGATCTGTTCTGGATCCTGAACTACTTTGTAAAAATCCCAAAGGGACAAAAGAAGAGGGAATGCAGAATCCTTTCCAAAACTGTGGAAGAGCATGCCGCTGGCTTTATATCGGGTGAAAGGGATGGAGGGGTGTCTCAGAAATCAGGGAAGGGAGAGGGGATGAGGATCTGGAAGAAGTGCAGAAAAAACAGGAAGTATGGAGAGGAAACAAGGAAGGCGGAGGGGTCAGGGAGGAGGGCAAGTGGCTTCACGAGGAGCCCAGTGTGGGTTGAGGAGAAGCTTCTGGAGTCAAGACCAGGAAGGCTGCCTCCTGCACATGGACAGAGCCGTACGCACCTGCCAACTATAAAGCAGAGGCCAGCGATGCAAGTGTAAGAACTGTGAGTTCTGCTCACCTTCATGGGACTGAAAGTGACTGCCACCATCTTAATGAGCGGCCCAGTGGCTTCAGACAAGTCCATGGGGACAGGACCGCTATGTTTACCAACTTGAACAGAGAGGTGTTTGGTCAAAGCACTACTGCCCCTCATGACCTGAGCCCCCTTCTCCCTGCTGAGAGTGCTAGAGCAGACCCTGTCCACTCTTGTCCAGGTCAGGCCAAACTTAACACTTTTTGGTTGGTTGGTTGGTTGGTTGGTTGGTTGGTTGGTTGGTTGGTGGTTTGGCTTGTTTTTCAAGACAGGGTTTCTCTGTGTAGCCCTGGCTGTCCTGGAACTCACTCTGTAGACCAGGCTGGCCTCAAACTCAGAGATCTGCCTGCCTCTTTCCTGAGTGCTGGATTAAAGGCGTGTGCCACCACCGCCCAACCAAACTTTAACCTTGTTAAAGCCAGCTCCTTGCCTCTACCGCCACCAGCACTGCCTGTTCTCCGTGTCCTTGGCCCCCCAGGAGGGCTGAGAGGAATTGGTCTAGCGATTTGGTAACTGCTTTTAGACACAGGGCTTCTGAATGGTTTTTCTTGGCTATTAGGAGCTCATCATCCAATTTTTTTATTAACATGCTGGCCCTCCTACCAAGAAGAAACATAGACCTGGTAGCACAAGTTCAGTTCATGTTACTTCCTGACTGCAGGACTTGGCCATACACTATTCAACCTCATTGACCTTTGGACAACTCACAGAATAAGGATAGTAATAGCTAATTCTGCAAATTATTGGGATAATTAACCAGTTTACTAGCTTCTTTTTTGTTTGTTTTAATTAGTGTGTGTGTGTGTGTGTGTGTGTGTGTGTGTGTGTGTGTGTGTGTGTGTGTACACATGAGTATATATACAAGTGTGTGGGTACATGCTTGCTCACATGCAGGGCCAGAAGAGGTCACCAGATCTTTCAGTGCTAAAGTTACAAGCACGCTGGCTTGTAATGAGTGCTGGGATCTAAATGCCAGTTTTCATGATTGTATAACTTGTACTCTTAACCATTAAGTCATCTCTTCAACCCTTATCATCTTCTTCTTCTTCTTCTTCTTCTTCTTCTTCTTCTTCTTCTTCTTCTTCTTCTTCTTCTTCTTCTTCTTTGTCTTCGTCGTCATCTTCTTCTTCTTCCTCTTCCTCTCCTTCTCCTTGTCCTTCCTCCTCCACCTTTTTGTCATCATCATAGTCATCCTCCTCCTCCTCCTTATTCTTTGTTTAAAAAAAAAAAACAAACATTTCAGGCCCGGTGTGGTAGCTCATGCCTATAACCCCAGCAGTTGGGAGATGGAGGATCAGGACTCATCCTGACTCACAGAAAAATCGAGGCCAGAGCTAAAGAGATTGTGCAGAGGTTAAGAGAATACATTGCTATTGCAGAGACCTAAATCTGGTTCCCAGCATCCACATTAGGTGGCTCCCAACCGTCTGTAACTTCAGGTCCTGGGGATCTGACACCTCTGTCCTTCAAAGACACCTGGACACACATGTGTGTGCATACACACACATACGTAGAAAGAGGAAAGGAAGGAGGGAAGGAGGAAAAGAGAGAAAATATAAAAATAAATATTTTTTTAAAAAAGAAAATTTGAGAGCTCGAGAGCTGGCTCAGTGTTAAGAGCAGCACTGGCTACTCTTCCAGAGGGCCCAGGTTCAATTCCTAGCCCTGATGTAGTGGCTTACAACCGTCTATAACTCTAGCTCCAGGAGATCTGATGCCCTGTCTGGCCTCCTTGGGTATCAGGCACACATCTGGTACATACAGGCAAAACACCTGTACACATAAAAATGTTTTAAATTAAAAAAGAAAAGAAAAAAGTTTGAGGCCAGTCAGGCATATCTAAGACTGTGTCTTGCATGGGGGCATAGGGGAGGTTGGAAGGACGAACTCATGGGTGAATATGATCGATATATATTGTATAAATGTATGGAACACTTAAACTTCTTATTTTCAAAAAGACCCCTGGCTCACAAAACCAAATAATTAAACTTATAAATAAAATAAGCATTTATTATCACAGATTCTGAGGATCATAAATCCAGACAAGGCTCAGTGTGGACTTGGGTTTTTTTGAGAGTGTCACTAATGTAGCCTAAGCTGGCCTTGAAGTCACGATGCTCCTGCCTCCACCTCCCTAGTGCTGAGGTCACATCCTGGGTGTCACCATGCCCCGTGGAGGGTCTTAAACTTCCTGGTACACTTCCAGCCCCCAGGGAGCCTTGCACTGAGCAAAGACTCGGTGTGTTTCCTGCCAAATTGATGACATGGTCCATGGCAATGTAGCATTGGGATCACGGCCGGGCCTCTCACCAAGTCAGTGGCAGACTTCAAGGACAAGTGCACCAGCACCTCCGCCATCGGCATGCGTCCTCACTAACCACCTCAGACAATTTCCCCTCCGTCTTTACCTCGCCAGCCTTCTTTCCCCAGAGTGCAATTTTCTCATATTGTCAGTAGTATGAACTGTGGGGTGCCTGGCCTGATCTGGAGTTTTCATCCCTCTCTCGAACATTCTATGAAGCCTTGGAATTCGCTCCATGTTTCTCATACATATCCCTTCTGATCTTGAGAGAGTGGGGACCTGCCCAGCCTCACTCGGTACCCATAATTCACTCCTGCCTTTGAGCCCTTCATCTCATCATCCCGCCTTGCTGCCAAACTCATTTAGCTGTTGGTGTGTCTTTTTTTTCCCCCCCTGGCAATCTGGATCCTAAATTTCACTACCACCTCAGCCATTCCTATGGAGCGAGGCTGAGGAAGGGATGAGCTGGAGAGTAAAGAACTCTGCTTCGGGGCTGGAGAATGGCTGGGTGGTTAAGAGCACTGACCGCTCTTCCAAAGAACCTGGGTTCAATTCCCAGCACCCACAGGGTGGCTCACAGCCATCTGTAACTCCAGTCCTAGAGGATCCAACACCCTCCTCTGTGGGCACTGCACACACATGGCACACAGTGATATAGGCAGGCAAAACATCCATACACATAAAAGTAAATAAATACTAAAAAAAAGAGAGAATGAAACTGAGTATCAGTTTAAAAAAAAAAATTCTGCTTCACTTTATACATTGGGTCCTTCCCACAAGACAAATTTAGTTTCCAAATCCTGATTAGTTTCCTTTGTCATTTTTGTTTTTAAATAATAAATAGATTTTATTTTTTTGTCTAGACTGGTGATGGGGCCATGAAAATGGAGAGTTAGCCACCAGATTTAGCTTTCACCAGGGACTGCAGGTGGATGAACTCTTTGAGAGATCAAGTACCAGAAGGAAACCGATGCAGCCACACCTTACCAGGAGGCAGAGGCCTGACACACGCCAGGGGTTGGAGGAATTCAATAGAGTGCATGAATGTGTGCATCCACACATGGAGTCCCCAGTCACTTATTCTTTCAGCGAATATTATTTGAGCCTCCGATAGGCTAACTCGGACTGCCAAACCTCTCTGGAGAGGGAGAGAAAGTCAGTGTTTTGGGCTTCTGGAACCATATGGTCTCTGTCACCACTACTCGGTTCTGTTGGTGCCATTCGGAAGCAGCCGTAGATGATACATGAATGAGTGAGCAAGGCCATGTTCCAGCAAAATTTGATTCCATTAGAAAGTATGGCAGTGGGCCGTGCATGCCACCCCTGGAGAAGGAATCAGAAGGATTCAAATCTCACAGTATTTTTGAGCTATGGGACAGGGCTAGTAGTACCTCTCAGAACTCGGTTTCCTTGTCTGTGAAAATGGGACAGAAGCGGCAGTTACTCGTGGAGTCATTGGAGGCCTGAATGAGGAGGGGGGTGGGGGCAGTGGAGCATGGGGCAGCGGAGGAGCGTGGGACAGCGGAGGAGCGTGGGGCAGCGGAGGAGCGTGCGGCAGTGGAGGAGCGTGGGGCAGCGGAGGAGCGTGAGGCAGTGAAGTGTGGGGCAGCGGAGGAGCGTGGGGCAGCGGAGTGGAGGAGCGTGGGGCAGCGGAGTGGAGGAGCGTGGGGTCATGGAGCGTGGGGCAGCGGAGGAGCGTGGGGCAGCGGAGGAGCGTGGGGCAGCGGAGGAGCGTGGGGCAGCGGAGGAGCGTGGGGCAGCGGAGGAGCGTGGGGCAGCGGAGGAGCGTGGGGCAGTGGAGGAGCGTGGGGCATGGTGTGCACTCAGACACGGAGAGAGCTGCTAGCATTCGTGTTTTGTTTCATGTTGTCATGGGTCGCCCGCCCCTCCTGTATGTGTGACTGTGAGAGGAGTGACTGCCTCCTGTGCCCTCGTGTATTTTCCCTAGTACCTGAGGTTCCTAGCCTTGTGAAGGACAGAAAGAGATACGTAAAGCTTTAAAAATAAAACAAACAAACAAAAAGCCACAGACCAGTGAGTTGGCTCAGTGGGGTAAACGCGCTTGCTGAGCCCCTGGGGACCTGAATTCCTGACATCTGAAACTCCAGACTCAGCACTCCTAACGTGAGGTGAGGGTGGGTGGGGGGCTGGCTGGAAGCTTACCCACACAGCACAGCAACAGAAGAGAGAGAGACCCGCCTCAAAAACAAGGTGGAACCAGCCATGAGGTTCAGCGGGGAAAGGCACTTGCTCACAAACCCGTGGGTCTTAGCTCAGTCCCTGGCACCACCGAGCAGGAGAGAGCTAGTTCTCACAAGCTGTCCTCTGACCTCAACACAAACACATCAATAAAAAATAAAATCTCTTTTAAAAATTAGTGTGTGTAGCCAGGTTGTGGTGGCGAACACCTTTAATCGTGATAATCAGGAGGCAGAGGCAGGTGGTAGCCAGCCTGGTCTACAGAACAGTTCCAGGACAGCCAGTGCTACCCAGAGAAACCTTATCTCAAAAAAAACGACAACAACAAAAATAGCATGTGTGTGCCCACAGAGACACAATGCCCAGAAGCGAGCATTGAATCCTCTGGAGCTGGAGTTCCAGTCAGTAATGAGCAGTCTTATAGGAACTGAACTCAGATTCTCTGGAAGAGCAGCAAGTGTTCTTAATCACTGAGCCATCTCTCCAGCCCATATACATATGTGTGTGTGTGTGTGTGTGTGTGTGTGTGTGTGTGTGTGTGTGTACATGTACACATATATGTATATATACATACACATATACTCACACATATATACATAAATTTATATACATGGGCTGGAGAGATGGCTCAGTGGTTGATATATATACACATATATACATACAGAGAGAGAGACGTTTAGGGGCCCTTCTCTCTCCTCTGAGAGCTAAATGAATTACCACAGGGTAGAAAAGCACCGGACCCAGAATCAGAGGCCTGAATTGTGACTGATGGGTAACACCAGACAGACAGGTCATGCCACAGCTCTGGATATCCGTCTCCTCAGCTAGGAGTCGAGGGAGTTCTGTTCCTTAACTCTGGTTCTGAGGAGCACTAGCACCTGGCTGTGCTGAGCAGGCCTGGAAGGCCGATCCCTCATCTGCCAACACACAGTTGCCTTGATGCCTGCTTCACACAAGATAACCCCCAGAGGCCTTGCATGGTGAGAGTGCACCGGAGTCTCATAGGAGTGGGTCTAACGATGCTGTGATGGTGTGGGCTACAGTGTCAGCACCAAGTCAACCTAAAACTTTCTGGACACCACTGTGGCCGAAATCAAGGGGTGCCTCGTCAAGATGTTGGAGGGTCCTTTAGTGAGCTCATTTCTTCCTGCTCTATAATGGCTCGTTTTCTTTAGGGTATAACTTGCCCATCCTTCCCCCCCCCCCCCCCCCGCCCCATTTGCCATGGTATTGCTTGACAGTTTTTATAGCCTTCCCCTTGAGCTCCCGACAGCTGTCATATAATCAGAAGTCAAAGGACTCCCAGCCTCAGAGAGCTGAGCACATTCCACCTCACCCTGGACATCTGCCATGGGCCCGTCCGTAGCAATGCCTTGTAAAGCAACAGTCCTCTGTGTGAGGAAGGCTGGCAGCTTGCAAACAGTGGGGATCAGACACTCCAGAGAAGCTACAAGAGCACCCTCTGACATGCTTCCCTAGGGGGATGCTCCTCAGTCTGTGAGAGAGGATCACCATTCCGATTTGTGGGTGCCGTTTGATACCTCTCCTTTCATCCAGGATAGCCTGTCCCGGGTTTTCAGTCATAAATGAGCAGAGCCCCAAAGAAGGAATGAGAGGTGGATTTGAGCCCAGGAAGTGAGCAGTGAGTTGGGGGCAAAGGTTGTATCTGCATCCTGCCAAAACCTGTGGAAGGTGGGAGTTGGAACAGCAAGAGGCAGGGAAGTGCTCGCTCGCCTCTCCCACACACCGTGTGGCATTTCACTGTGGGAAGCAGAGTGCAGACGAGCTGGATTTGATAGATCCATCTTAATTATTCTCTCGGCATGACGCCAGTTTTTCTCGGCGAATGTTAGGGCCAAGTGGGTTTGGTGGAGGAGAGGAGGGGCTCTTACAAGCTCCCAGGAGGAAATCCTCACCTTCCCTTTGGTTTGAGGAAGATACCACATATTGATGTGGTCACAGGGATACTTTTGTATTTCTTAGGACTCCAGCCTCTTATATGCAAGTCATACGAGGAGCTTGGTAAAAGGTGCAGGCTCCATATAATGCCGATATTGCTGGTGTGGGGGCTGTACCTGCAGTAGCAAGACCCAAGGAGAGCTTAGACGGCTCCTTGACTGATTCTCCATTCTCTAAGCCCAGGACTCACTCCCTACTTCCTCCGAAAGTTGTACTGTCCATGGCTCTCTTTCTCTTCGGGCATTTTTACATGATTACCTGGACATGTCATTCAGACTGACTATAAAACAGAGGAAACCAGTTGTCCAAGGAGGCCCTAAATTCTGCTGGTCGGAATTAGTGGACTGAAGGGACTTAGGCTATAGTTCCATTACTCCTTGCTTCCCCAGGGATGCTGGAGTGACTGCCCAACAAAGTACCATCAGCCCTGACTTAAAGTAACAAGCCATCTCAGAACTTCTGTGGGTTGAGAGTCCAGGGGTGATTTAGCTGGGAGCTTCTAGCTTAGGATTAGTCATGGATTGGCTGGGACCTTATTCACCTGAGGGTATTCTGTGACTGTTGGCAGAAAGTGTCCCTCCTCCTCCCCTTGGGCCTCTCTGTAGGTCAGTGTCAGCATCCTCAGGCAGAGTAAATGGTCCAAGAGAAAGAACAGAGCGGCTGTGGTGACGCTGACGAGACATTCATTTCTGTTTGGTTTGTTACTAACAGCAAATCTCTAAGACCAGCCCTACAAGAGGTGAGAATTCAGTAGTTTCTCATGAAATGAAGAAACTGTGGCTGTATTTTTAAACCACCACAGGTGCCTCCTGGCCACAAAGCCAGTGTGGGAGAGGACCCACTCAAGGGACTGATGCACCTCGTAGCCATAGGTCTGCTCTTGTTGGTCAACTTGTGAGAGCATGGTCATCTCTCAGCACTCTTGGTAAAGGCACTTCCAAAGGGAAAGCTATCAGCTCCACCCCACGGTGACAGGGGCCGTCCAGCTGCTTCAGAAACTACAGAGCAGCTGCAGACTCAGAGGGTCATACAGTATTAAAGAGCCAGGGTCAGGAGTCCCCAAGTCGTGAATTTTGATCTGCCCTTTACCATTTGGTTGTGTGTCTGTGAGAAAACCACTGAAGCCTCAGATTTATCTGGAAGGTGGAAGTAATAATAGTGCCTGTTTCGAAGTGTTGTGTGAGAACTAAATGAGGTATTAGACGGGAATCATGCAGCGTCTGCTCTAGCAGACAGGCACTCAGTGCAGGGCTCCTGTTCTCGATACCTTGCCTCCACCCCACATTCACATTCTGTGTTTCAAAAGATGTTAGCCAGCAGCTCCTACTTTTCTGCTCCTACATGAGTGCCACTTCTCACATTTTTTAAATACTTGGGAGCATGCGCACGCGCATGCACACACACATGCACGCACTCGCACACGCACTCCCCCACACACATGTACACACTCACACACACAAGAGTGCATGTGAGTGCAGGTATCTGCAGTATCCAGAAGAGGGTGTCAAGATGTCAGGTACCCTGGAACTGGAGTTCCCAATGGGTTGTGTGAGCCATCTAACATCCCAACATCCAGCTGGGAACCAAACTCAGGTCCTCTGCATGAGCAAGCAGCATAGGCTCTTAACCACCAAGCTATCTCTCCAACCCCTGTCTTCTCCCTTTTTATTTGGATTTGAAGAGATCTGATTGACTTCTGCCAATCATCTACAGGGGGACATATGCTAATGCCAAGCCTAGGCTGAACTCTTCCCCTGACCTATTCCTTCACACACTAAGGCCAAGGCAGGCCCTATTTCCCCATCCCTGATGGCACAGTTTTTCCTGATTGTATCAGACTGGTTCCCTTCAGATCCCAGCACTTTGGTGTTGGGCGGGGGTATGGGAGGGAGGTGTTTTTGCCAGGGAGTAATATGTCTATGTTGAGCTATATTGGAATCTGACAGGTTGTTTTGATCTGAACTTTAAACAATTAATGGTTCAGAGCAGAGTACCTGAGAGCCTGTGAAGAAATGGAAAATTTCTTGTTCTGTGGTATGAAAAAAAAATGTTTTAATGTAGGGGAAAATGCCCTGACAAAGATTTTGATAGGCTTATATTACATATTTATGTCTTTAAAGCAATGAAAGCGATCTTTTCTAGTTCATTCTGTCTCTCTGCAGGTACTTAGTGTTCCTGCAGATCAAAAGGGATCTCTACCATGGCCGTCTCCTCTGTAAAACGTCGGATGCCGCCTTGTTAGCAGCCTATATCCTTCAAGGTAATAACTTTGGACAGGATAAATTTGCTTTTTACGCTAAGTCCTGATTACATTATTCCATTTACCACAGATGACGACTTCTTAGATCGAAACAGCTTCTAACTTGAAGCAAGTTAAAGGATTTTGCCCGGGTTGTCTAGAGCCAAAAAGCTCAGAGCCCTCCTGCACCCAGGGTCTCACTGCGAGCCCCCTTGAGTCATTTCGACCTTCAGAGACGTGTCCTGTACCTTGCATGCTAATGTTTCCGTGCTGCTGAAGAGTAATTAGAATCACTTGATCCCACCCTTTCAGGCAAATAGCCATGGTATGAGGCATGATGGGATTCTGGTATCTATTTTGTAGACCTCTCAGCTGAGAGTGCTCAGTGTTGCAAGTATTCTCCAGTGAGAAGCCATTTCCTGGTGCTGATGAGGAAGAGTTGAGCCTCTGCTGATTCCCAGGCTGGCTGTGGGGATTGGTCATGAAATGTGAGGACCTGTCATGCCCTTCTCTCATGAAATGCTGAGGACACTCAAGTGTCACTCCTCGGAATTGTCTTAGTCCTCCATCCTAAAACTGTCATTAACGACAGGATCATTTGGACCTAAAACCACGAAGTTTCCATTAAAAACATGAACCCTTGATTGTGAATCAGGGAACTCTCAGGGGAGTTCTAAGGAGAGTCTGCAAAGAGCTCGCTGGCAGGAGAAATATCAGACCTGTGGTTAGAGGGGGAAACTGAGCCCACTGGGGCTCTGGCTCTGAGAATACCATTTCAGTCCCAGCCAGTGGGAAGTGTAGCAGATGCTTGTGCATCCTGAGGTACTCAGAGAGTATCCCTTTCTCTCTTTTTTTTTTTTTTTTTTTTTTTTTTTTTTTGGTTTTTCGAGACAGGGTTTCTCTGTGTAGTTTTGGTGCCTTTCCTGGAACTCACTCTGTAGCCCAGGCTGACCTCGAACTCACAGAGATCCGCCTGCCTCTGCCTCCCAAGTGCTGGGATTAAAGGCGTGCGCCACCACCGCACGGGTGCTTTTGTTTTAAGACAGAGTGTGACTATGTAATCCTGCCTGGCCTGGAACTCACTATGTAGTCCAAGCTGGCTTTGAATTCAGAGGTCCTAAATCTGTAGACCAGGCTGGCCTTGAACTCACAGAGATCCACCTGGCTCTGCCTCCCGAGTGCTGGGATTAAAGGCGTGCGCCACCACTGCCCGGCTTCCCCTTTCTTTTTTAAAGAGGAAGTCTGGCCTACACTGGTTGCACTGTGAAACTCTAGCCTTTTCCTCAGGTCCACCCTGATCATTATGTCAAATTATTTTTTTCAAAAAGTATTTGGTACCCAACATCAATATTTCCCCCTTGGAGCTTTTCAAATAAAATCAAAGTAAATGACCTCAAGGTTCAAAGTCACTCATACTTCAAGGAATGAGATCTCTTGTTAAATAATAGAAATTTCCACCGAATTTGGAGTTTGGTTAGGTTTTTGTTTGCTTTACTTTTGTTTTGTTTTGCCTTAGACATATGATTTCACTATGTTGTCCAGGCTGGTCTTGGATTCTTGGGCTCAAGTGAGCCTTCTACCTCAGACTCCCCAGTTTCTGAGGCTACCAACATCTACCACTACCACACTCAGCCCCGAATAATGTGGAAGGACCTATAATTGGCAGTGGAACGCACAAGCCCAGAGCACCATGTCCAGCTGTGACAGGGGTCTTGTTTCCTCCCAGTACTTAGTCTGCCTCGGCTGAAGAGCATGTGGCTCTCCAAGGGAAGGAAGGGGACAGCCAGCAAGCTGCTGGAAGCTCCTCTTTGCTTTTCTGAGCTACCCTTTGGGTGGGGCTCTGCATGAGGAGAAAGCTGGCTTCTGGCTGGGAGAGCACTGAGGAAAGACAGTGCTCATAAGAACTCCCAGAGACCTCACAGCCTTAGAGATGAACTTTGTAGGCATGGCACGAGCCACAGCATTGGGAAGTCAGCCTTAGAATCTGGTGTCCCTGCACTTGGTCACTGGGTTATAGCCATGTAGCGGCAGGCCTACCTGGTGAGCCCACCATGAGCACTGAATGTATTCATCTGATTCCATGTGTGAGGGCAAAGTCCTGAGCGGTCCCTACTAAAATCTTTGGGATGGGATTTAGGGTGGAACACAAGAGGTCTCGTCTTCCTGATCAAACTCACTGTTTGTTGCTACCATGTAGGGCATGGCTCCATGCCTTCCCGTGTGGCTGAATGACTGAGGACCAAAGAACAGGCTTCTGCTCTTTTATTGCAATTTGACTTGTGACCTCAGAGCACAGGGCCAGCCCTACTATCTCTGTTTGACTTGAAAGTTAACCGATTGTGTGCAGCAGAGAAAAAAAGCACACATCCGCTCCCTGTGAGCCTGCCCTCTTCCAGCCAAGGGCCAAGCTCAGGGTCTGCCTCGTGCCTTGGCCTCCAAGCCATGTGTTAATCTTGTTTTTTTTCTTTTTTCCTACCTTTGAAAAGCGGAGATTGGGGATTACGACCCAGGAAAGCACCCTGAAGGCTACAGCTCCAAGTTCCAATTTTTCCCGAAACATTCAGAGAAACTGGAAAAGAAAATTGCCGAGATTCACAAGACTGAACTCAGGTACGTGACACTCACCTGGGGCCCTGGCTCTCAGAAACTACTTGCTCACACAGAGTGATGCTCCCAGCCCTGGTGACCGTGGGATATCCTGTTTACAGGGATCCACTGACAGCACATCCCCCTCCCAGTGAGGCTAAACTCCTCACCAAGAGCAGTCTACAGCCATAGCATTCTGAACAAGCTCTATCTTGTCTGATGTCAGAAGCTAAACAGCTAAGCTGGATGGGAGATGAGCACAGGGCTCAGCTGACTTACATCTAGTGCTATGGTTTAGAGACTGTAGCTTCAGCATTCGGTGAGACACCTGCACCAGGGATGCCACCGGGGATGCCGTAGCTGGTAACCACAGAGTCCTTCATTCCTCAACTTGGTTTAGCCTACCCAGATTATGCAGAACCATAAACAGCATTGATGCAGCCTTTCACCCACGTTAACTAGAGCAATGGTGGAGCGGGCCCTACGTCATGTCTCATACTAGAACATAGGTTCCCCAGACGGATAAACTACCTCAAACAAAGGTATGTGTGCTAGAATGTTATAAACTAACAAGAAACTGGGTCACCGTTTTAATATGTGACAATTTCATTTAACTTTTAGGACTTTGGATATATTAAGACAGTTAAGCAATAATCCAAAAAAAATGTATTAACCAACATAGAAAAGATAGATTAAATTTAAACTACATTTAAAATAAAGAATTTTATTTTTATTTTCATTTACTTTGAGTGTATTAGTTAGACAAAACCATGGGTTTCCTTGTGGGTTTTCTTCATTTTTAGGACACTTTAAAAAGAGGCAAAGAGCCGGGCGGTGGTGGCGCACGCCTTTAATCCCAGCACTCGGGAGGCAGAGTCAGGCGGATCTCTGTGAGTTCGAGGCCAGCCTGGGCTACCAAGTGAGTTCCAGGAAAGGCGCAAAGCTACACAGAGAAACCCTGTCTCGAAAAACCAAAAAAAAAAAAAAAAAAAAGAGGCAAAGAGAGGAAAGGCACAAATTGTGGTCACAACATGAACCATTCACGGAAGAGTAGTATGGGAGGGGAAAAACCAAACAAATTCTATGTGTCTATAAGAGAATCGGAAATTGAGCAGTGGATAAGAATGAGAATATATTCGTTACAAATATGTAATCTTGTGATAAGGTCCGTGCATTTCCTGCCCTCAGGAAGGACTGTGCTGGAGTGGGAGCCGGGTGCTTCTAATAATGCTGAACAGAAACCACACCTACCCCACCGTGACCTTGCCCCCCAAACCTTCATCTTCACTCAACGCTTATGAATGAACATAACCCAAAGCCTCTTCAGCATTTGCAAACAGACTGCCAGAGTCTAGTGTGCCCAGACAGGCTCCTATCAGAGCTGCAATCTTGGGTTTTTCCAATCTTCTCAATGCAGAGCCCAGTGGTTGGCCCTGTCACTGTTAGGGAAATGGTGACCCCTTGTGGTTACAAGTCGGGATGACAGACCCGCTTGTGAGCTCCCATTCAGAGATCAAGGATTTATGCTGGCTGCTTGAGGGTAAGATGTCCAAGTAGTGGGGACATTTCTGCAGAAAGTTAGTTCAAGGCGAGGGATTCCTCAAGAAATGATGGCTTCTGAGAAGACCCTGGAGATCTGAGCAAACTCCTGAGGTTAATGGATTTCAAGGGGCGGATTCCTTCAGACATGGAATGAAGATGCTCCTGGAAGGCATTTTCCAAGTATCTCCTTGCATCTGGGGTTTGTTGGTAGTTGTGGGTCCTCCTTCACCCTGATACCCATAGACACGGGTTCTGCCTTGCTTTCATAGTGTAAAAATGCCTGAGTTTTCTTCCTCTCTGCAACTTTGACAGCTCCTTTGGGCTCGGGCTGTGGACTTGTTTCTTGATCTACTTTCCAGAAGTAGCACAGAGGCTGGCACAGTACAGCGCGAAGGACAGCGGCCTCTTCGGGGGGACACCCGAGGGACTCTGGCCTGCTTCTCGCTTGGGTGGGCTTACTTCCTGCTCTGCCATATGACTTTGGGCAAATGATAAATTTAGTAATGAGCAACCTTTGTTCCTGCCTGCCAGCCATCAGAGCTGATGACTTCACAAGCTGCCCTCCTCACCTCACACTCCATCTGCTTTTCCAGGACTCTGCATGCAGAAGAGCCCGGAGCCAGTGCCACCACTGACTCCAAGGTGGTTTCATCTCCACGTTCCAGGAGGCAGGCAGGAAGGGAGCTGTGCCAAGGCCTCTTCAGACGGCTAGAGCTGGCTTGTTCCCATTCATAGTATCATCCTGTGCATGGAGAGCTGTACGGTGTGGAGGCCCGGCAGCATCTCCTACTGCTGTCATTCTCAACCTTGGAGTCACGACCCCTACGGGGGTCGAGCAACCCTTTCACATAGGTCACATAATAGATATTTACGTTGCAATTCATAACAGTAGCAAAATTACATTTATGAAGTAGCAATGAAAATAATTTTATGGTTGAGGGTCACCACAACACGAGGAGCTGTATTAAAGGGTTGCAGGGTTAGGAAGGCTGAGAACCACTGCCCTACTGCTTCTCCCAGCCCTCTGTTCCTGTGCTCTCTTTTGGCCAACAGAAAGGGCTGAGTGGTACCAGCAGCGTATAGGGAACCCTTTGTAAGTCAGTCCATGTCCGCTCACGGACAAGAAAGCTGGGGCCAGTAACCAGCCTACAGATACATTTTCCCTGTCTCCACAGGACTGCATGCTGTGAAAAACCACAAAATCATTGTCTCTGACTTGTTTAAACCCACAACCTCAGCTGGGCGTGGTGGTGCATGCCTTTAATTCCAGCACTTGGGAGGCAGAGCTCTGTGAGTTTGAGGCCAGCCAGGGACATTGTAAGACCCTGTCTCAAAAAAAAAATCTTTTTCATAACATCTGGCCAATGAGATGGTCCAGCACTTGTCAAGCCCTGCCCTCCTGAGTTCCACCCCCAAAGCCCACATGGGGAGGGAGAGAACCAGTTCTGGCAAGTCGTCCTCTGAGCTCACACACCCCATGGGACCAGAAACTGAACTCACAGCACCTAGCACGGCTTGGCCTGCGTTTTCTTTGGGGGTTTTGGCGATGATGGTTGCTTGCATATTTGTTTGATTTGGTTTTGGCTTTTGGTTTTTTGAGGCAGGATCTCCTGTAGTCCAAACTAGCCTTAAAATTTTCTGTGCACTTAAGGCTGGTCTTAAACTCCTGACCACTCCGCCTTCCTCTACCCCCCAAGTGCTGAGGTGCCAGATACCCCACACTACCATGTCTGGCTTTGTATGTATCCCAGGAAGGCTGTCATCTCAGAGCCGTCCCCACCGCCCCCCCACCCCACCCCCTTCGCTTGGAGCCCACTCAACTCATTATGTAGCCTGTTTTACTTTGAGTTTTGTTCTGTTTTCATTTTTTATTTATTTTATTTCTGCATATGGATGTCTTCCTGCATGTATGTCTATGGTGATATTTTATTTGTATTAAAATGTTATTTGTATGTTAATAAATAAAGTTGCCCAGGGTCAGAGTTATTAGCAAGCCATAGGAAAGCAGGGCAGTGGTGGCGTATGCTTGTAATCTCAGCACTTGGTAGGCAGAGCTAGGTAAGTCTCTGTGTGTTCAGGGATACAGCCAGTATTGGATACACATGCCTTTAATCTCAATACCAATCATAGAAGACCTGGAGTCCTTTACAGACAGGCCATGACGAGGCGGTCATGTGTTTGGGTTTACAACCAATGAGAAGGCAGAACAGAAACTCTATATAAAGACTTTAACACAGAAAGTAGCTCTGGTTCGGAGAGGTAGGACCACCGCAGGAGGAAGGGTAAGGTTTTAGCTCTTAGCTCTGACCTCTTGGCTTTCTTCTTTGCATTGGTTCTGTGTTTCTTATTTAAAAAGACGGTTGGTTACATCTACATATGTCTGTGCACCATGTGTGTGCAGGGCACTCCTGAGGCCACAAGAAGGCATTAGATCCCCTGGGACTGGAGATACCAAAGGTTGTGAGCCGCCATGTGGGTGCTGGGGGATCAAACCCAGGTCCTCTGGAATAGCAACCAGTGCTCTTACCTGCTGAGTGGTCTCTCCAGCCCTCACTCTGAGTTTTAACCTCAGACTTGAATCTCTAAAGCTGGTTCTACAACCAAACAGAACACTATGGAAAAAAATGGAAGTGTGTGGCCTACTCTGATCACATTTTTTGTTTGTTTGTTTAATGCCTCATCCCCATGAGAGTAGCAAAGCCTCCCTCCACCCAGGCTGCGGCTCAAAGTGATGGCAAAGCCTCCTCAGGGTCCAAGTGACAATGTTGACGGTCTGCACAGAAAATGTTTGCCGTAGCTTTCTTCCCCCCGGACATTAACAGCCTGAGGATGACTCTCCCACAGAGATTGCTCCTAGCAAGATAGGCTAAACCTGAGGCCTCGATTCAGCTGGCTGTAATAACCCCACGTGACCATTCAACTGTATATAATAAACACGCTGGCTTCCAGGGTGCTGTAACTGCTCCACCAGAAGGCTGGGTCTGCCCAGCTCACCACTTCTTAACAGGGGGTTCACACCTGGGGAACCTGTGGGACAGGAGCCCTGAGACCATCTCCTTTTCATTCCAGTGGCCAGACACCAGCAACATCAGAGCTGAATTTCTTAAGAAAGGCACAGACACTAGAGACCTACGGAGTGGACCCTCACCCATGTAAGGTAAGACACCCCCATGAGGGACCTCACTGGTTGTGCCTCCTCTAGCGAGGCATGGGGTACTTGTACCCACAAGCTCTTCAGCATACAGGGGTGCCACTACCATGCCATGTTGGAACCTCTGGATTCGACACGCCACATCACTGTCAGAGGATCCCAGGCAAAGGCAATCTAAATAACAAATCCAAACCCCGTGCTCTGCCTTGGCAGCTGTGGGTAATTTGGTGGAAATGAATTGAGGGGACATGTGGAGAGCTCCCCACAGGGAACAGTCAGGAATCACTCAGTAACTGTCCACCCTTTCCTGACCCATAATCTAGTTCCTTTCCAAGAGTGGGTTTTATTGACTATCATGGCCCCGAGTCACCACATGGGACAAAGGAATCACATTTGGTTCCATTATGCACCTGCCAGGGTGAAGCAGGAAGGCACCGGGGACACCGTGCCTGGGAATCCTCTGTGATTACTCACATGCTCCTGGCATTTCAGAGATGAGTTTGGGGAGCCCACCCCTGTGAGCGGTGAGACCCACAGCCTTTCCTGACTCTGGCCACTTCCTCCCACTACAGTTCATGTCCTTGTGCTGGTCACTGGCTCTGTCGGACCTCGTTTATGTGCCCTTTCCATGACTGGAGAGGCTGCAGGAGCAACAGTTCTAAAACTGAGAGCAGAACAAGATCAGCCTCTTCCTCCTCCTGGGCGAAGGGACACTGTAGCCAAAGAGTTGATGTGTTCCTTTCCTGGGGCTGCTGTAACAATGTTCCAAGCGGGGTGGCTTAAACCATGCAGACCTGTTGCCTCTGTGCTGGAGGCTGGAAGTATGACTCCATGGTGCTGATGGGGTTGGTTCCTTCTGAGGGCCCTAAGACAAGGTTCTGTTCCAGCCCATCTCAACTTGCTGATGGCTATCCTCCTGCATCTTGGGTCTTCCCATCATCTCCCCTCTGCTGTGTCCCTGTCTAAATCCAACTCCCCCTACTAGTTAAACTGGAGTTGGGCTCAACCCCACAGCCTTGGCTTAATTTTAATTTCTATAAGGACCCTATCTCCAAAGAAGGTCACGTTCCCAGTACTTGGAGCTAGGACTTCAACATCTGAATTTGTAGGGAGAGGACACAATCCAGTGTATAACAAACCATGGAAACTAAGGGCACAGGGGCGAAGCCCTGGTGAGGCGATTTCATTTTCCCTGTGAAGTAATAAAAACCTGGAGGACGTCCTGGAATGCAAACCTTCTCCCCCACCTAATTCCCTAAGCACTGTGTAGCTTACTGGTAGACAGGCCTATGTTCTCAGGGCCAGCAGTCATGGGCACAGCCACACATTTCTACAGACTTTATAAGTGATAGAAGAATCAGTAAGGCTTCCTAAATGTGTCCTGTGGGAAGCAAAAATGGTTTTGGTTGGTCATGATGGCGAACACTCATAGGCTATGCTGAAGATTCAGAGGCAGGAGGATCAGTAGTCTGAGACCAGCCTGGGCTACACATTTAGCCAAGACTATGGCTCATGACTTTAATACTAGCACTCAGGAGGAAGAAGCATGTGGATTTCTGAGTTTGAAGCCAGTCTAGTTTCCATAGTGAGTTCTAGGCCAGTCAGAGCTATACAGTAAGGCCCTGTCTGGAAGAAAATAAATGATTTAGCCATTCTGTCAATTGATTAGACACTCTAGTAGGCAGCAGGGGACCTCATAGGAGAGAAGTGTTTGGGGGCCTCAGGCTTTATGCTCCAGTCCTCAACAACTATTGAGGCCTTGCTGGATTCTGATCCCCACTCTTCACATCTCTGAGTAAGAAAGCAATAGGTAGCCGGGCAGTGGTGGTGGCGCACACTTTAATCCCAGCACTCGGGAGGCAGATCTCTGTGAGTTCAAGGCCAGCCTGGTCTACAGAGTGAGATCCAGGACAGGCACCAAAACAACACAGAGAAACCCTGTCTCAAAAAAAAAAAAAAGAAAAGAAAAGAAAAGGTGTGTAGGAGATTGTCCCTGAGCTGATAAGTCATCCTAAGACACGGGGAGGGGGTGTGTGTGTGGCAGAGGTGTAGCCTTGCCTATTGCGCGCGCGCGCGCGCGCGCGCGCGCGCGCGCACACACACACACACACACACACAAGCCCTGAAGTTCAAACACACATACACATGCCGACATATACACAAACACACACGGAGAGAAAGAGATGCCTAAAGACAGGTGTGGTCATTAGAAGTTGCCAGATCACCTCAGTGTTAGCGTCCAGTCCCCTTGAGGCCTCACTTGAGAGGGGTTAAGGTACGATTCACAGCACACGGAGGTCGGCAGGCAGTGCTCCTGAGCATGACAGCTGAGCTAAGGTGGGTAGGGTTTTTGCTACTGCCCACAGAAGCCATGGCCTGGCAGCCATGGACAACGACAGCCAGACTGGTGTCCAGCCTAACTCCATGTGCATTCCAGGACCATGGACTCCTGATGCAGCCTTGACTTTGACAAGTTTGTCCATCATGGACACCCGGAGGTTGAAGAGACTGCAAGAAGGAACCAGTCTCTGGTCTCTGTGTGGCCCAATCCCACATGTCATAGCTTCTCAACCCCTAGAACTGAGGGAGGAGAGGCTGAGCATAGCCCGCTTCCTGTTCAGAGCTAGTGGGTCCTTTCACGTTGCTTCTCATTGACTCTTCGGCCGGTCTTGGGGTGTTTCCCAAGTTTTCTTTCTTATCTATAAAACAGTCTCCCTGTTTTTTTTTTTTTTTTTTTTTTTTTTTTTGGTTTTTCGAGACAGGGTTTCTCTGTGTAGCTTTGCGCCTTTCCTGGAACTCGCTTTGGAGACCAGGCTGGCCTCGAACTCACAGAGATCCGCCTGGCTCTGCCTCCTGAGTGCTGGGATTAAAGGCGTGCGCCACCACCGCCCGGCAAGTCTCCCTGTTTTATAGATAAGAAAGTTGATTCGGACCAGGCAGTGGTGGCACACGCCTTTAATCCCAGCACTCAGGAGGCAGAGGCAGGCGGATCTTTGTGAGTTCGAGGCCAGCCTGGTCTACAGAGCAAGATCCAGGAAAGGTGCAAAGCTACACATAGAAACCTGTCTCAAAAAACCAAAAGAAAAAAAAAAAAAAGTAAGTTGATTTGGGGGCTGGGGGCTGGAGAGATGGCTCAGCAGTAAAGAGCACTGACTGCTCTTCCAGAGGACCGGGGTTCAATTCCCAGCACCCACATGGCAGCTAACAACTGTCTGTAACTTCAAGATCTAACACCCTCTCACAGACATACATACAGGCAAAACGCCAATGCAAATAAAGTATAAAAAAAGAAAAGAAAGTTGATGAAGCCAGGCAGTGGTGTCATGCACCTTTAATCCCAGCACTCGGGAGGCAGAGGCAGGTGGATCTCTGTGAGTTCAAGGCTACCCTGGTCTACAGAGCAAGTTCCAGGACAGCCAGATCTACACAGAGAAACCCTGTCTCGAAAAACCGAAACAGAAAGAAAACTGATGTACTATTAAGCCAAAGTTCACAAGGCCCTGAGAGGCAGAGCCAAAATTTGAACTCAGATCATTTCCATTGTTGTTTATACATATAGGAAGGAGCGATGCCTGAGAGACTTACTCTGGGGAAAGGGGAAGGGCAGCTACCTCATTGGCCTTTTATCCCACATTCTCAGACCTGGGCCTCCTGCTCATCTGGGTCATGTCAGGGCCCTACTGCAGACGCCACACGTGACCCTCAGATCCTTTTATTAGGCCCTGGCCATGTGTCCTCAGTCCTCCAAGGCAAAGATCAATTCAGGAGTCTTCACTCTTATCATTAAGTAGCCTCACTTGAGTGATGTGCTACCAAGCACTCCTCTTAATGTTGCTACAAGGAGAGCTGGAATAAGCTGGCACACTTGGTGTAATAAATACTGATGATTTCTATTAACAGGGAGGCAATTACTGGGCCCAGGGAATCTGGGGCATGCAGCCCCAGGGAGGACAGAAGAGGAATCGTTTGGATAATTAAATGAGAGCAGAATGCTCCGGCTGGGCTCTGTTCTCCTGGACTGATTAGGAAGCTCACATTGGTCCTGTGCATGCTGATGGTTTCTTTCTGCCAGAGTGTCCTTGGCTGGTCCTAGGACCAGAAGGAGGAACTCCTACAGACCCTGGCTGGGAAGCCAGAGCACCCAAGCCTCAAACTTGCACGGGGCAGTCCTCAACTGTGCCCCCCCCCCAGGTCCTGGGAGGAGTCCCAGAAGCCCAATGCTACAGCTGCTGAAAGAGAGCAGGGCCTGTTGTGGTGTCTGTTCCCTGATTCCTCTCCAAACTCAGGAGTTGCTATCTTGTTCCGTTCAGACTAGCCGAGAGACTGGTGGTTTACCCTGGGTCTTTGGGTTCTGATGGGGCTGCCCGGTAAGGCTTTGGTGGGGAGGGGCAGCTCCATCACGGATGTCCAGCCTTTTTATCCTGAGGCCTGGTGGTACCACTTCCTGAGAGCCTGCATGTGTCAGGTACTCAGCTCGATTATCTGCTAATCTTCATTATGTTGTTGCTGAGAGCCAACCTCACCCTCACATTAAAGCGAAAGCACCAAGCCTTTGAGTGCAGATTTTAAAACGGGTAAGAGGGATCAGGAAGTTCTTACTAATGTGTCGGAAGTTCCGGTGAGGACACCACTGGGACTAGAAGCCAGTGTTGTCTGGTCTCAAGGCCATGCTTCTACAGTCCCTGCCTGCAGTCTTCCTTCTACGGAGATAAACTTAATTTAAAAGCTAAGCACGGCCGGGCGGTGGTATCGCACCCCTTTAATCCCAGCACTCGGGAGGCAGAGGCAGGGGGATCTCTGTGAGGTCGAGCCCAGCCTGGGCTACAGACTGAGTTCCAGGACAGGCTCCAAAGCTACACAGAGAAACCCTGTCTCGAAAAACCAAAAAAAAGCTAAGCACAACTTACCACCAGTTCCCATACAGAGAAGACACAAGCCTAAATGATTTCTGAAATAATCATATAAAAATTAATGTAAACCCAGGCATGGGTGATGATGCCTATAAT